TACAAAGAATTGTTTTTCTTGATTAAATGAAATATTAACTTATTAAAATAATTATCAAAATTATAATAAAATTTTTTGTCAAACTAATATATTGTTTAAATAATTATATATTGGACCACATGCAATTTAAAAAATATATAATAAAAATAAAACAAAAATTTGAACATGTTAATAATAATATAAATAATTTTTTATATTTATTTTTAGCTCATATAACTATAAGACCAAAGAAAATCCAATATTTAAATATACTTTTTAATAAATGCTTTAAAATTATCTTTGATTGATACAAACCATCAAACCTAGGAGCTTATCAGGTCAAGTGGAACATGATTTTTTAAAAAAGCAGTTTGATCTTCTAGCAAATATTTCAAAACAAAATTATCACAACTTTTAAATATTTGATAAGTTATGAAAAATATTTTTTTCTTATTATATATCTAGTTTTTTTATTAACGTATTTTTAATATTACGAATGAAAAGATAATAATTTTTATATTTAACACTTAAATAAAGCAAAACTTATATGAACAATAAAGAGTACTGTATCAAAAAATAAAATTTTATTTTCGTGAATTTTTTGTGAAATTTTTTTCCAATATTTAAAAATGTTGTATGACATTGAAATCATCATATATATTGACTCAAATTTATCGAGACACAGAATATAAATTTATACAGTCCTTCGTTTTGCTCCAGACCAATAAAATAAAAATTTTATGAATTATGAATTACAGACCAATATACAGTAAATGTATGTTTAATTATTAAAATAGGAAGAAAAAAATACCAGGCCTAAAAAAGTATTCGTGTAACGTTATGTAATATACGGTATTTAGTAGGAAAATTGAAATTTAGAGATCAAATGTCTTGTCCCGAATGTAATAAGAAATTCTCAATAACCGAATGGTGCATGTCATGTAATAAAAATCAGATTTGACAAAATTTTGACAAATGAACAAGTGAAGATAAAAAAATTGACAAATATTATACAAAAGTCTCAGCTTCAAGCTGACTTTAGTGGTAAAGTGTTAGAATGATACCGTATACACGATTTCAAGATGTCAAAATATTGCCAAGGTAGATATGACAATGTTTATTCTGCGACATGGGAAGATGGTGAAATTGAAAAATGGGATGTTCGCAATAAAAAATGGGTTAGAACTCGTTTTTATCCAGGGAAAGTAGCATTAAAAAGCTTAGATAAGCTTAGCTCAGTTGATGATCTTATAAATGTGGTAAAGAATATTAAACCTCGTTTAACTATAGTTTTATTATTAATCTAATTTATTTGAAATTTTGGATTGAGAAACATTCTCTTTTGTGGAATTATATTTTCGTTAGGTGCTATGGAATTACGCAACAGCCAGAATCATTATGCTACATGATGGTTTTTGATTTTCAAGAAAATGGCAGTCTCTGGAACTACTTGGACGAAAATTTTTACAAGATGGATTTGAAATTAAAGTTATCGTCGTTGCGAAGTATTTCTATAGGTTTAGAACTGATGCACGAAGAGGGATTAGTTCATAGAAACTTTCATCCATGAAATCTTTTATATGATTCTATTCTAGATCTAAATATCTCAGATTTGGGTCTTTGTAAATTTATTAATGAAAACTCAACACGGAAAGAAATTTGTGGAGTTCTTCCATACATTGCACCCCAAGTCTTGTGTGGTCACGCTTACACACCGGCAGCGGATATTTATTCATTTGGAATTGTAGTATATGAAATGGTCACAGGATTTCCTCCATACTATAATATTCCTCATGATCAAGATTTTGCTGTACAAATCTGTCAAGGGCTTACGTCCAAAAATTCCATTCAGGACTCCAAAATTTTTAGTTAGATTAATACAGTAATGCAATGTTGGTATGCGAGGCTATCGAATAGACCTGGTGCTATTAAGTTATGGGATACTTTAGATAAATGGATTGATTTGATCGAAAGGGAAGAGCCTTCGGATTTTAAGGAACACATTAAAAATTACAAAAGTGAAGCTTTAAAGAATTTTCAAACAATAACTTCTCGGGACTTGATTATAAAACAAACCTAAATGATTTTTATACTAACAGACTTTTAAATATTTCGAATTTATCATAACCAACTAATGTCTCCAATTATGGGAAGGTACTTGAATTGTTATCGGATGATTTTGCAGGTGAATATACTGTAAATTGTATAACATTTATCACATTTCTAAGTTTAATAGATTTTAATTTAAACCTTATTTAACAGACTCAGATTTAACCGACTTAGATATTGCTAACCTTTTGGGTATGTTAGAAATTATATATTAATCGTAATCAATGATCCTAACTATTTAATAACTATAATCTAATATTTTAGAAAACAACTTGGGTTCAACTATAAATTAATTTGTTATTTAAACATAAGATATCTCAAACAAGAAATTATTTGTAATAGTTCACTGAGTCAAATTTCGATTTATAAATTTGATTTCAATTAGTTGAATTATTATTATTATTATTATTTTTTACAGTCTTCAGTCTTCTAGTATTTAATCGATTTTAAATATGATAAAAAAGCATGCGATTTTTTTATAATTTTTAAATAATTATTCGGGAAATATTGAAGAGGTAGAATAAGATATCAAAGTTAATATTATAGTTTAGAAAAAATACTTGTTTAAAAAGTTTATTCTTCCCGCGTATACTGTATATAAACAATAACCGTTAAACATTGCATTAGGTTTTTAGAATCTGTCTATCTATGGCAGAGATTTATTGCTAATTATAAGTGTCGAGGTGGCCTTTCTCCGTATATATTTGATTGCAGTGATGAGAAAACAATCGAAATAATTAGTAAAAGATTCCACAGTCGTAGTACAATACCTTCATTTCCTGTACATATTTGTTCTGACTAACTTTAAAAGTTCTAAAATTTATTTCATTCACCAACATTTGTTATAAAATTCACAGGTTTCGGTTCGGCTACATTGCAAGTTCCTAACATTATCAATAATTTCAAAAAAATTATTAAATAAAATTGAAGCTTGAATAGAAAAGAAATCAAAGAATGCCATTGTCACTAACAGTAATAGAAATAATTTTTTAAACATAATACTGTAGTTTCAATATATTTTAATAGTAATAATAACGATATAACGATGACGATAGCTAGTAATCTGTAGGAACTCGAGATTCCTTTAAACGCCCACTTCTCATAAAATTTTATAGTTGTATTATGTGCTCCAAACAAAAAAATAATAAACACGTTAAAATCTTTATCAAAATACGCAACTAGTACAAATATTAACACAATTGTTTTTTATCAAGGATGCGCATGCTAAACATCTTACGATGTAACATTTAATATTTGATTATAATTATCAAAGATTCCTTGCCCAGACATTCTATTGTAAACGCATCATAATATTCAGAACACGACACATATATGAAATCCCTCTGCAATCTTCTAAACTTTTTTTGATTCACTGCGAATATCAATAATAGCTATACTCTTTGCATACTTGGTAATATCTTTATATTCTCATTCAGGTTCAATTTCCCACCATACTCGGTATTATTCTTCAAGAGCTATGTTACTCATTCTAACTTATTAATATAAAATTCTATGTACCCATAACACCTAAAAGCTGTTCCCACATCATATGACAGAAAGTGATGCTCCCCTAATATTTATTTTTCAACTATATAAAATTCCTTTCACCATGTTTGTTCCAGGAAACGTGCGTTAGCTCCAAGTTCAAGTATCTCTATTTAAAATTTTCCACCTTGTCCGTTACATATTGCTGTAAAAGTTTTTACATAAAATAATATAAGGATAAAGAGGTAATTTTAATAACGTTGACTTTCATAATATTGCTGAAAAAATGATCCATAATATATTCACATCATTATCAGCAACAAGAATCCGGATTTGACCAATTGTCAAATACTTGTATCTAAAAGTATAAAAAGAATTATTCCATTTAAGTAAACGCTTTGGCATGTTTGCAATTACCCAACAAAAAATTTTTGGACTTTAGATGAAGCGGCATTCATCGAACTGAATACATTTGAATTTACATAGATACGCAAATATATCTTTCCAAGTCAGCATATTTTCATGGATTTGCCATTCCATTCACTTTTATATTACGCAATATGTGATAAACCAAACCTACATGTCCTGCTATTGCTTCTGAATATATTATCCGAAATGTTATTATCTAGCAACACAAAGTGCCTGTTGTAGAAAGTTGACACATTTCCATAGCTCATTGTCGGTAAATTGATGTTAAAAATATTTTTGCTGCTCATGCTGAAATTAAAATATTTAGCATTTCACGAAGAGTGGCCTTGATGGTATTCTAAATAGTCCTGGCAGTTTCTCTGTTATTTATACTTTTTTTTAAATTCATGCTTGTCTTCGTAGATTCTTTTAAACTTTATCCATTATCAAAATTGATAATCCATTCAACCCACAGTTTACATCAACAAACTTCACCATTTTAAATGTCTTCCAATTACATTCCATTTTCATAACTGATTCCCAAAGTATTGAATTCTTATTACTTTATATTCTGAAAAATCTTGTGATTGAGCCAAGCAATTTTCAAAAGTTGATCTAATGATGTTTTTTCAGAATACTGTAGGGGTGAGACCGAACAAACGTAATCCTTTTTTTTGGAAGATTTTGATCAAAGAAGACATTTTCAGGATCAGTAAGAGAAATATCCATAGAATAAACCTGTAATCTTATAATAAGATGAACACGACCATCTAAAAAAAACTAATTGTTAGAAACATAATCAATATGATACAAATATTTAAAATACTAACTTATATATACTTTTTCAAGGCAGATACTCGAGGCGTTGACTATTTGTTCTACCATAAATAAATAGACAAAAGTTTATTATATGATAGAGGACTAAAAAAAGAAAAGATAATTTGATACATTTCTATATACCGAAATTTATTTTGAAATCATAAATCCAGCTATTCCTTGGTCATTTAATTTTTAGGATATCACAAATCACGTGAATTCTTAGATTCTCTGGTCATAATGATTGAGATGCACATCAATAAGGGATATGTGTAATAATATTAAAAAAATATATACACACAAGTATTTCTGAACCGGCGAAATTCTTCGATCCCTTTTTCAGGATCTTTATCCAACAATTCAATAACATTGGGTAAACCCTTTTCTTGGTTCAGCACGGATAATGCATACTTGTTCGATTTGAGAGGGTCATAATGAATTATTCGCAACACTGTTGAAGACATCTATTTTCGTGAGGTAAGAAGTAAATAAGCAATAACATGTATTTAATGACACCAGAACTGACCCAATTTTATATGGATCTTGATATTTATTCACGTTATTCGTAATTTTTGTGACGTAAAACTTTTAAAATTTTTTAGTGTGAAAGATCCATTTGTGAACAAAATGCAGTATGCACCTTCACATTAAAAGACAATGATGATGAGCAAAAAATAAAAACGAAATGCCATATATCATATTGTGAAGCCCTTACCAATGATGGAAGTAAATGGAAGCTGTATGATTATTTTGATAGTTTCTTTCGGAGAAGATTATTCTTTTGGAAAATACTCTCTAGCCTTGCTAATTGTACTAATTCCCCTATCACCAAGCAGTTTGATTTCAATTTCATAAGAAAATCATGAGGTTTTTCCAGAGAAACCATAACTCTCCAAAGTACTATTTATTATAGTTCTCGATATTTATTTCTCTATTATGTTTCATATCATTTTCTTGAGATGATTAATGATAAGATCATTAATACCTGGGACTTGAAAAACAAAATAGGATAATACTATTTTAATCCCATATCTGCAAATGCAAGAAATCAGAGTCAAAACCAAATTTTAAACCTAATTATTTAATAAAATTATAAAACATATGACCTTAGCGAATAAATGTCTGAATGAGTAGGCATTTTGATTCACGTATATTATAACTGTAGATGAACAGCTATTAAAAACCAGAAAAGAATTATCGATCTGAATTAACACACGACATCTATGAAATTTTTGTTAATCATATCCGTATATAATTATTAAACCAAATATAAATGTAATTAATTATACCGTATACAAGTATTTCTTATTAGTAATAAATAATGTTTAATTAAATCAAATAATAAACATATAATTAATTTTAATTTTCTGTTCAAACCCACTATTTATATACTATATAATAATTGTAAATCATCACATTTCTGCTTGATTTATTATTAAAACTATTTTTATGTATCGATATTTCTTTTAACAATTTTTAATTATAATTGCAATATTAGTACTTTGATTAATTTGTATTCTAATTTTTATTAGATTTTGAATTTGTTTGTAAATTTAAATTAATAAATATATAGCAGATACTGTATATATTAGTTATTGTGCCAATAAAAAATAAAACAATTACAATTTGATAAATAAATAAATTAAAATAAATTAAATATTAATATATAATTTAATTACTATTGTAATTATAATACTATTTAAGTATTAACCAGTAAAATATGACAATAAAAAATATTTGATTTTATTTGTAAACAAGCTAAACATAATTTAATTAAAGTAATTGAATTAAATATGAATAATTACAATTATATTATTTTGTAAAATATTAACATAAAATTTTAATTTTTAATAAAAAACATAATAATTTAATAAAATTTTTATTTACTGTATAATAAAAATTATTTATTTTATAACAGAAATATATTCAAGCATATTTTATAAATTTTTTTTACTATTCATAAACTTATTTGTTTTACAATAATTATTTGATTTGATTTTTTAGATTTTTTAAAAAAATTTTTGTTTAACCTTATTTTATTCAATAACTTGATATAATTTTTCTAAATATAATTGGTTGTAATGATTTTAAAAATTTTTCATTAATTTTTATATATTATTTAAATTTTGAAAAATAAATATTTTTTAAATATTTTTAAATATTTTAATATTATAATGCTTTTTTTATAAAACTATAAAAGTAAATTAAAAATTCTAAAGATTCTAAAAATTTTAAAAACTTATAAATTACATTGTATATAATTATTTTATCTATTTTGTTAATAAATTTTTTTTTTAATTTAAAAACAATTTTTGTCTTAAATTAAAAAAAATTAAATATTTCAAAAATTTAATTTTGAAATATGATTATTAATTAATTATTCATTTTAATTATAAAATTTTTGTATTATTTTTAAATTTCTTTGATATTACTATTTTTTTAAAAAAATTTAATTATTTTAATTAATTTTATTTTTAATATTATAAATAAAAAATTTTCTTTATATTTATATTTAAAAATAATCAAAATTATAAATTTTTTTGTTTATTATAAAAATATTTTTGTAAAAAACCTTCTCCTATATACAGTATGATTCAAAAATTTTAATAAAAATTATTTATTAATTACTTTATAACTATTATATTAATTATAATTTTTAATATTATATTTAATAAAATAAAACCCTATAATTTTATTTAAAAATATTTTTATAATTTTAATATAATTATTTTAATAAATAATTGATTTTCATAAAATTGCAAAATCAATTTTTATGAAATTTTTATAAAATTTTATTTTTAAAAAATTATTTTTTAATATAAATTATCTCAAATTATTTAAATTTTTATAACAATATTTGTGATGTATTTTTTAATATAATCAAAAATTATTTTTATTTATTTATATAAATTGTTTAATAAAAAATTAAAAACTTTAAATATATAAAACTAAAAATTATACTTAATAAAAAGTTTATAAAATTTAAATTATTAATAATTAAAATAATAGTTTTTTGGATTTAAATAAAATTTAGCTTTTTAAAAAATATAATAACAAAAAATTGGTTGTTTTTTTTTTTAATAAAATAATAAAATTATTAATTATTTAAAATCTTTATTAAATAAATATAAAAATTATTTTATCAAAATATTTAAATTAGAATATTAATTGTTTTTATAAAATTTTTTATTTAATATGCATATGGATTTTAAAAATATAAATTTATTTTGGAATAATTTTATAAGCTAAAGGTTAATTTTTAATTTTTAATATTTATTTTAAAAAAAATATTAAAATTTAAAAAAATATAAATAAGATTTATTAAATCCTTTATTTTATATTTTTATAATTTCTAATATATTTTTTTTATATATTTTTTTAATTATTTGTGTTTTAATTGAAAAAAATTTTTTTTCAAAACCTTTGACTCAGGCTGTATTATTATATATTTATTATTTATTTAAAAATGTTATATAACAATGAAAATTAATTACAGTATACAGTATGGGACAAAAAAATTGGTATTAACTTTTTTTATTAAAATTTTATTAAACTTTATTTAATATCAAGAATAATTTTATTAACATTGTTTTTTAAAAAATTAATTTAAATTATTATTTATTTTTTTTAAATTTTTTTGTATTAAAAGCAAAATCAACATAAAATTATATTAAAATTGCAAATTCTTAAATAAAAATTAATAAATAAAAATTTTAATGAAAATTATTTTATTAGCCTAAAATTATTTATATTTAAATTTTTACTTAGGTAGTTTAAATAATATTTATTAAATAATAACAAAAATAAAAAGTGACATTGATTTTATCCTATACTATATATTGCCTCAAGGCACCAGACCAATAAAATAAACAATATACGAATTACAAGCTAATAAAAAAATGCCTGGCCTAAAAGGGTATCCGTGTAACGTTATGTAATGCATATAGTATTTAATAGGAAATAAAGAGGTCAAATATGTCTTGTCCCGAATGTAATCAGAAACTTTCAAGTTACGAATGGTGCATGTCATGTAATGGAAATCACTTTCAACAAGATTTTGACAAATGGACAAGTGGAGATAAAAAAATTGACGAATTTATACAA